CCCCCGCCTGACGTGTTGGGGGGTAGGCTAGACAAAGGCCCCCACAGGCCTTTCTTTAGCTCTCCCTCAGCAGGCCCCAGAAAGTGCTGGATTGGGACCTCTAGGAGTGATTTTTGCAGTAGAAGAAGGAGAGGTTGGGGGCAGTAAGAGGTGGGGAAGGGGCAGCTGAATGGAGCGGGTCCGCCCCAACAGGAGGCCACAGAACAGAGCAGAGGAGCCGCTCCTCATGTTTTTATGTGTCTGCTGATGTGCCTACAACCTTTACCCGCAAAGGAGGCCTTCTCATCCTCGAGGGTGGGGAGCAGATTTCAAAGGAGACCCTGCAGTTGAAAGGGATTCAAAAGACCCTGGTCTTTGTATCAAACCCAAATCACTCCCGCCCAGCATCAAGGAGAGGAGGACTAAGAAAAAGGGTTCCAAGGAGATGTGTCCCTGAGGACACAGCCACTGCCCCAGTGTGGTGAGGCAGCAAGGCCACATCAGAGCTCACCAACAGAAAAGTCAATGTAAAATCTGGATCCCTAGCGGGCCTGCCTCAGAACCCCAGGGCTGCACATTTATGAGATGGCAGCCAAGCTCAGCAGTGCCAGTGCTTCAGCATTGAGTCTCTTGGTGCCACTAAGGAAAACTTTTACCCAAGCCACCTCTAGGGTGACCATTCTGGACCCAAGCCACTTAGCCTGCACGGAAGCTATCTCTAGATCCTCAGTAGTTTTTATTAGAACTGCAAAGCTGGTCCCAAACCAGGACTCCTGTTCCTACTTCACTCTCATGCACACACCTCACCAAGCCCCTGCCACCTTCCCAAGTACAGTGCTATCAAGCTACACATCAACCACAAGCCAATATAAATTATATCCCGTCCCTGCTCCACCTCCTCACCTCCTGGACCAGATCAGGATGAAGTCATTCTCTTCCCACTGTGTTCCCCCAAAACAGAGCAATCGTTAATCTTCCTAAAGCATTCGGCTCTAAGCCACCCCTACTTCAAGACCTTCAACAGCTCCTTACTGTTTAAATCTAAGGTTGCACACTCAGGTGCCCACGAGCACCAGGCTGAGGAGACAATCGAGCAAAGCAGCCTGCTGGACTGCCAGAGGGACATGGATACTGGGAACACATGCCCTGTCTAAAGGAGGCAGATGCTATGGAGGTCTGCCAGCAAGGCCACATGGGACTATGTACCCCATCCTGCCACCTCTGCTGGTTGTCTGAGAAAAGCCAAATGAAAGCACCTACCAGAAAAATCTACCATGGGCCCAACAGATGTGGGCCCGGCCTTCACAGCCCTCCATGGCTGGTCCAAACCACTGCTTACCCCCCACTAACAAGATGTTCCCACAGGAGATGGTCCATCCCAGCCAGGCCAGGTTCCTCTCAGCTCCCCAAACCCACCTCCTCTGCTCTTACCTCTGAGCTTTGCACACCCCACTTCGCAACTTAACAGCACATCCTTCAGGGACCGCCTCCTCCATACTCTCCTGTGACGGCTTTCCTTCTTGAGGCTGTTTCTACGACCAAGATCAGCTCTGCCACAGAGAACACACTTCATCCTTCCAAGCCCACATCTTTCTGAAGGATCTTTCTGTTAGATTTAGACCCAACGGTCCCTGGGCCAGACACATGAACTGCTCTCGTCGTAGTTATCTGGATGTCCATCTGTCTCCCCCACAGACAGGCCCTGATGATAGGGCCTCCCTAAGCCCAGGCCTAGGCAGGGGCTCTAAAGACGAGAGCCTACTTGTCTCAGATACAGGCTCCACTGACTCCTGATGATAAGAACTTAGATAAGTCATATAACCTCCATAAGTGCCTGGTCTATAGTAGAGGCTCCTTATGAAATGTGAATTTCCAGCATCGCACAGTATGTGCACTACGGCATGCCCTGTGGATGGCTGTAAGCTCTCAGAGCACAGGGGCCAGGCCCTTCAGCCCTCTATTACCCACACAGACCATCATAAAGCTTGCATCCAACAGGTGCTTAATCAGAGTTCTTTGATAGATTATACGCATGAGGTCACGAAGGGCAAGTTGGTGGGTGTATGTGGACAGATGGGGCCAGCTACCCAGGGTCTAGCTGGCACAGGAGCCTCAAGCTCATGCCACGTAACCACACAAAACATCTGTGTGAGAAGACATCTGCAATTGCATAAACGTCTCGCCTGAACCAACATTTCAGCCTTGGAGACGAGAGCTACTTGTTGCCGCCTCTCCAGACCTCCAACACCCACATGTCCTGGGAACACAGCCAGCTCACAGCACTGCTGAATATGTGGATAAGGGGCCTTCTCCAGCCACCAGACTGACCTTCAGCTCTCACCCAGGCCCAGTTGCCCACCAATCCCTCTTGCTCCAACTTTAGATAAAAGCAAGCCTTTTGCCCTCGATCGGAGGGTATGCAGCTTCCAGGCTATGTTCAAAAGGAAAGGTGGATGAAGAAAGAAAGGGGAAGAAAAAAACAACACACCTTTGAAATCACTGTGGTCCAATTAACCAGGCTCTCACCCTTCATGCTTACAAACAGGAACACACATTAACACCTGCTACAAAAGCAAATATTTTTAGATATCTTCATCTTCACCTCATTGACACTCCCTTGAAATTGTACACAGCAGCTGGCTTACTGAAGGAATGTTTTCTGATCCTATACTTTGGTAGGGGGCTTGCTAATAGAAGAAATTAGAAAGCAGTCACTCTCCAGGTCAGCTTGAACTCCCAAGATTCCACCTGCCCTTCCTGGCTTCTCCCTATCCTCCTGGGTGTCCACCCACATGCTGAGGTCACCACCTGCAGGGGACTCACTCAGGGTGGTAAAAGATGTCTAGAAAAGGGAGAGAGCTGAGACAACAGATACTCAAATCCACGGAGCAAGGTGTCACCATAGCTAGATGAGGAAGGGCCTGAGCACATCTCAAAAGACTGCCCGTTTGATGTAAAATGTTGAGGATGGCAAAAAGTAGAGCAAGCCAGATTCGGATACCGCTGGTTCGAAGCACAGTTTGCCACGCTCACTTATACACGGCTGATGACCATCCATTTGTCAATTTGCTCTATTGTGGTGGCTGTGAGGCTGGGCGTCATGGCACTTGTGTTTCAGACAGCAAGGTAGACTGGTATCAGAGAAGCTTCTAGACGATGGTAGACCAGGAAGAAAGTACTATGATCTACTTCTGAAATCAATGAATGAAAACCTATGGATCCCAACAGAGCCTGGTCTAACACCCTTGTTTTGGATATGTCGTTAATTGCTAGACACAATGTTTGGTGGAGGAAAAAGGCCAGAGAAAGCAATGGGGACCCTTGGTGCAATGGATTATTACAATAGCTCCAATAATGAATGCAACAAAGTAGCAGCAGTGAGGAGGCTGCAGAACTGGGCAATATTTTGTGCTGTTATAGTTCATGTCACCGTGACTCAAGAATTATTGGCAGTTAACAACAGTTAAAATTCTACATACCCATATCCTATGCGCCAGCAATTCTGCTCTTAGAAATAGCGCTACTAAAAGTGTGTGCACAGGTTTACCAAAAGACGGACAAGAACATTCTGAGCTGCATTGGTTGAAATGGGTCCAACACAAAAGAAAGAAAGAAAGGAAGAATTCAAAAGCCCACCAATCATAGAACAGATCAATGTGGATTATTGTGTGAAAATGGAAAAAATAATCTCAAACGACGGCCAATATGAATGAACACAAGATGCAATGCTAGACTAAATAAGTAGACACTATATGATTTCAAAGTGAAACCAACCTATGCTACTAACCATCAGGATGGCGTTATCTTTGTTGGCAGGGAGAGTCTTGAGGGAGCTAAAGGAGAAGTTTCTGGAAAGCTGATAGAGGTCTGCTTCTTGATTGGTGTTGAGTTTACAGAGGTATGTGGTTCATGAAGCTGTACGCCTACTTGGTTTTTATGAATGTATACAATAAAAAAATTGTGTAAAGTAGTGGTCTGTTGGCGTGACTACTCTTAAGACGATAGCAACAAGACGTTATAGGGGGAAAAACGGTACAGAATAAAGAAAGGATCAGGGTGATCAACACACTCTTGCATCTCATTGGTCAAACTTAGTGAAGGTTATCACACATCCACCAATGGCCATAATGTCAAGATAAGAGGAGCTCTCCACGTCGCAAAACTACCCCACCCTTTGAGACTACCTTTCCCTTAGATCCTCCGTGTCTTACAGGGAGGTGACCTCCTGTGCCCAGGGAGATCACCCCCATCCACAACAGGTAAGTAAAATTGGAGACCTTGGAAGATCCCTGCTAGAAGGCTGGCTTTTCCAAAATCAAGTCAATACCACCTTGAAGAGGCACAGGAAGAAATACCGAAATAACTTTTGTAGGCATTCTGTTTTGACAATGTACCTGAGGAAGTCACCACGCTTAGTGGGGGAAATGAGAGCAGTTAAATCGATTCATGTCACGACATTCAAAATTGAAGCCTAATTGCCCCTGAGTGCTTGACAACTAGAAAGCACTTCTTTTCAGAAATGGAGGGAAATTCATGCTCACTCAGAAGTGGAAGAGATTGTCGAAAATTTGACTGTAATGTGAAGGGTGGTGCAACAAGAATGCTCAGATGGGGAAAGCTTTTGGGGTCTGACATTTTTACTCCCATTTGCAATGTCTCAAAAACAGCAGCAATGACTCCATCCTTTGCCCTTAAAGCTGGAGAAAAGATGGTTGAAACCACAATTTTCAAACCCAAAGAATAGTCCCAGTATGGCTGGGAGAAAATGGTCTCTTACCAATCATGTGGTTGGCAACATGGATTTGGATCTCTCTCTCATTCTCAAATGTCATCTGGCACTTGATGCACTGGTATGTCTTTTTCTGTTTGGAAACCAAAAAGAAAGGAATAGAGCATTAGAACGTAGAGAAGGGCAAAAAGCAAAAGGTTCCTGAAGGGGCTGGGTCCAAATTTTCCAGGAGGGCTCTGACCCATCCAGGACCTATCTCCCCCTGACTCCTAACAGATGCGGGGTATCATTACGTTACATTGGAAATGTTCCTTTACTAGGTCCCTGAAAACTGTCCCACCCCAAAGTGAGAGCACACCAGAACCACCCAAAGGTAGGGGAGGGAGGTGGGCTTGCTTATAATGAGTTCAAATCCATCTACTTATCCATCCATTTACCATCCATTCATTTATCACCTACCTACCCATTCATCCATTTACTCATCTACCCTCCCAATCATGCATCTGGTACCCATCCATCTGTGTACCCAGGCACCCATCTACCAATCTACCAACTCATTCATCCTTTCATGAACCTATCTCTCATCCATTTACCAACTCCAAGAACCATGAGGCTAGGCAGGTGCTCATCTACCCTAAGCACACACAAACCATGTGAGCCTACAGCAGTTTTAGATCTACACAAGGAACAATTACCAACTGCCTTTTAGCAAGAGTGGGGGTTATGGGAAGGGACAGAACAATGGAGGCTGTAAGGAGCTTCGATGTTTCTGAAAGGCCAGTTTCAAAGAGTGGCTCTGACTGCTTGAACACATAAGCCTGGGTGGTTATGAAAGCAAGCCCTACAGACAGAGGTGTGGCTGTTTGTTTGGGGGAAGGATGATGGCTGTGGGTTTGCTTGGTTTGGGGGGGCAGAAAGGGACTATGGTACATTTAGTAGAGAAAGTTTGGCTCCCGGAGTGATGAAGCCTCTCTTGGTCTCTGGCAAGGTGAGGATGCTGGTTTTGTTGGCTGAGCAACCAGGTCCCACATTCAACATGAGGGATGAGTCACTGGCAGGGGTGGAGGGGGGAAGTCCATTGATCAGAAGTTTGATGGAGGTTCCAACCATACCTGGTTTCCCCAAACATGCCTGGTCCCTCATCGCTAAGCCTTTGCCTGTGCCATTTCCTCTACCTAGAACACCCTCTCTGTCTCTCAAACGTCACCACCCAGAATGGGTTCAGGACATCTCTGGCCCCTGTGGATACAATAAACACACATCGTTAATCTGCACGCTTCTGTCATGGCAGACTCGCCTCTACACCATGAGTACCCAGAGAGCCCAAACTAGCAAAAAGGTTTTGTCCACCTGTGCAGTTCCCTTGGTCAGCCAAAAGTAAGTACTCAGGAAGCATTTGAGCAAAATAATATATGAGCAAAGTTGCAAGTGAGCAAGGTTATGCAAACAATACACTCTAAGTTCTCTATAAGGGCAGACAGACCAAGAAAATAAAAGATGCTTAGAGCTCTTGTGTCCCCATCACCTGGCAGAAGGGCTGGCTCAGAGTGAATGTCTAATAATTATCTAACAGTTCTCATTCTCATTATTATTGGGCTATTAATTATTCATCACTCTTCCCTTGCTGTTGTTGGGCCTTTCCTCTAGTGTTTTGAAGGGCCTTGGGCTGTACAGCCCAGCAGGCCCAGAAGCAGGCACCAAGTAAGGAAACACCGCAAGGGCAGGGTGTGGAGAGGGTATGGGGCTAGAGTCCAGCATCACCACAAGCAGAAAGAAGCAAAAGTACTGTAGGGGCAAAGGTCTTCTGAGGAGACGGCAGCCCCAAGTTAGTACCTTAGCTCAGCTCCAGGTCTGTGTTAAACAAGAAAGCAGCGCCTTTTGGTGAAGTCATACATTCTCTCTCAGGCCTGCCTCTCTCTCTCTCTGCCTCTCTCTCTCTCTCTCTCTCTCTCACACACACACAGACACACACACACACACACACAGGCGCACACACACACCCCTCTATGAGTAAAAGAATGAATGAGTGGATGAATATATGGAACCAAGAAAGCAACACACCCCAGGCGTGCATCCCAAGGAAGCCCCAAGTAGACCCGCAGAATGAGCACTGCCAACCCCTGCAGGTGGGTGGGTACAAAGGGGGTGGTGTGAGCTACCACCAGGGCTAAGAGAGAAAGAATGACCACCTTGGATGTGACCTGGGGAGGGGACAGCCACAGGGAGTCCAGCCCCACGATGGGAACAGCCCAGGACTGATCTCTTAAACTCAGGAGCGAAGCAGGCTAAACTCTGGGTTGCACCAAGAGGCTATCCCCAGAGCCCCTCAGAGTTGGTCAGCGGCCAGACAAGTGGGCCCTTCCTGGTGGGGAAATGGCCCCAGGGAAAGGCAGAGGCAGCACCACCTGCAAGCATACACGTATACAAGCACACAGACACTCTCAGCCCCACTCACCACCACACACAGACCCTCACAAACACCCCAACCCACAAAGTGACTCTGCAGCACCCTGAGCAACAGGGACTTCCTCAGACTCACAAGCTCACACAGAGAGCCAAGTTCATCCTCAGAGACATACTTCCGTTCCCATCTTTCACTGAAATCTGTCTCCCCTCACCCACCATTCTCCAGCATGCCCCCAGATGCCCGAGCAGCACACACAGACCCCAGTGCTCCCACGTGATTATCCTAAGGCTTGAGCTGCCAGGTCCTTCACGTGGGTGGGGCAAAGACCCAGGTGAGAACTTTCACTCACTCACCCCTCACCTTCCACTGACTCCCTTTTGCACCTCCCTTAGGACCCTCAGCCCTCAGCCTGACACCTCTGCCCCTGGGAGGCCTTCCTTCTCTTGTGCTTCAGCCCCATTGAGAGACATAATCACAGCAAAATAGAACTTGGCATTCAAAGTGCCTCTTTTGCTACAGGCCCCTTGCCTGGACAGGTTCAGGAGCTCGCAGATGGAGCTCTGGAGTCTGTGGCTGAGCCATCTCTGAGAGGAGCCCAGGGCAAAGGGAGAATGTGCTTGGGGACACAGACACAAGAGAGGGAGGGTACAGGAGGAGAGAGCAGTCTAGTTTACCCATGTGGTTTCCATGAACCTGGTCACGGCAAATATTCACTGAACACCTACTATGTGTTGGGCACCCTCAAAAGGAATCTCAATGACACAACAAAGCTGCCAGTAACACTGGCCCCGATGGCCAGACCTCCCTGCCAAGCATCGTTTGGTGCCAGAAAGCTGGTGTGACCTGGACTAAGCTCCCTCAGCTATATGTCAGAGCCCTGGTCCACCCACCAAGCAGAGAAAGACACCCAGGGCTGCCATGAAGCAATGGAGGGCCAGATCTGCCCACACTGGCCTCCATGTAGGGCGAGGCTGTTATTACCCATAAACAGAGGGGGAGGCGGAATGCTCAGCGTTTCACGCTCCAACCAACAGCAGCCTCAACCCCACAGGAACCCAGTCCTCTGAGGGCTAGTTGCTATGGATACTCTCCCGAGGGTCCCAGGCTGCCAGCCCCCAAGCCCCTGCATAGCCCCCAGAGTCTGCTCTTCCATGAGTAAGTCCTAGGGGAGGAGGTGGGCTAGTAGACAGCTGGGCCCCTGCCCCAGGGCATGCCCAGGCAGGGGGCAGGGCTCCACAGGGTGTACAGGGAGCTACCTAGGCTTTGTCTAACTCCTTTTTTGCTGCCCATCTGCTCAGGCCTCAAGGAAGCGAAAGATGTGACTTGCAGTTCGCTCCCTCTCTCGTGAGACCAGGGAGCAGGAAGAAGGAGGTCTGTCAGGCCCTCAGCAAACAAACCCCCTCAGGGCTGAAGTCCCGCACCGCACCGCCACACACGGCTGTGCATCCCTGGGCACATGGCTTCCCTTTCTGAGCCAAAGCGAGTCACAACACAACCCCAGGCCACAGTCAGGGCCATGAGATGAGAGCAGCAGGCATTTTAAGAAGGGGTAACCCAACGCTAGCTTGGTAACCAAAAGACTGGAGGTTCAATCCCACCTCCTATCTCTGTAGGAAAAAGCACGGGCCATCTGCTTCTGTAAAAGATGACAGTTTAGAAAACCCGGGGAAAAAGAGGAGCTGATCCCAAAGGCTCAATGGAAAGTAAATGTCTAGAAAAAATGATGGAATGTATGTACGAATGTGTCAGAGACAATTGATGCATGGGTTGTAACATCAGTTGTAAAAGCCCCCAATAAATGATTATATAAAAAAAAAAAAAAAGGAAAAAGGAAAAAGAAAACCCTACAACGCAGTTCAACTTTGGCACAGGTGCCTAGCAACAGCAGCGACAGCGGCTTTCAGGAACCAGACACCGTAGAGGTGATTCTGACCCGTGGCAGCCCCATACGTGTCGGAGTACACTCGGCTCCAAACAGGGCTTTCAGAGCTGGATTTGTCAGAAGCCAATCACCAGGTTTTCCTCTTCAGGCCCCTCTGCATGGACTTGAAGTGCCAACCTTTCCGTTAGCAGCCAGTCACTAACTCTTCGCATCAATACTCAGGGATGACAGAGATCTAAGAAATGACATGGAAAACCAAATCAAGAGAGAGAGATTGGGGAGAGGGCCAAAGAGCCCAAAGTTGGGCTCTGGAGGTGGCATCAGGACCTTCCATAACTCCAACGCAGTGACAGGCAGGGTGGGACTGGGTGCCCAAGGGACCAGAGACCCAGTCTCACCGTCCTGCGCCATAGCCAGAGCATGGAGGGAAGACTCTCCTGGCCTCCAGCACGACAGTCAGAGTGGGTGGGGGCATCAGGCCCTGACACGGTTCAAATCCCTTCTCTGTCTCCCAGAAGGTGGAGAATCTTGGCAAATGACCTAATGGTTCTATACCTCAGTTTCCTCATTTGTAAAACCAGCTTTATAAATATTAAAGGGACACTGTAAATGGGTGGTGTAAATGGTGGCTGGGCTCAGTGGCCAATGTTGAGGCTGGAGGTTCCAGTCCACCCAGAGGTGCCTCAGAAGAACGACGTGGTGAACAACTTCTGAAAAACGGAAACGTTCATGGCAATAAGCCCAAAGCAGCACAGACCCAGTCTGACACCCAGGGGACCACTGTGAGTCAGTCAACTCAATGGCAACTGGTTTAAGCATTAGATAGATATAAAATACTTGGCGCATCATTAACCCTCCATAAGGGTGAGTTATTATTTAAAATCCAACCAACCAACCCACTGCCATCGAATCATTTCCAACACATAACAATCCAATGTAGGGTTTAAGAGACTATTAAGTCTTTATGGGAGTACATAGCCTCATCTGTTCCTGAAGGAGTGGCAGGTGGGTTTGAACTGCTGACCTTGCAGTTGGCAGCCAATGACTAACCCACAGCCTCATCAGGGCTCAATCATAAAGGGTGGGGGGAGAATTTAACAACTGATAAGGCAATGCTCAATCAGGGTAGACACTAGTTAAAAGAATCAGAGCAGCCCGCAGGATCCTCTTAGCATGGTCACCCTGGCAAGGAACGACAGCACTATTACTATTACCCTCCAGCTTTGCAGGTGAGGTCAGAAGTCCAGGGTTGCCAATCATCGCTGGAAAAAGAGTGAGGGTTTTAACCCAGGCATCTGACTCCAGGCCCAAGTGTAAGCCTCCACACACTGCCCTTGCCAGCAGCGACAAGCTGCAGCTGAGAGGACAGAGCTAGGCAGCAGGGACCAATACCCATGCTCAAGACCTCTGAAGCAGGAAGGCTCTGAGAGGGTGGAGCTCGAAGGAGAGGTCTTTCGAGGTGGGACCTTGGGGCCCAGTTCGGGCACACAGCTCTGTCCTCCATTAGAACGTTTCTCTCCGCCGGCTCCCTGGGTCTCGGCATGCCCACCTGGAACACTGCTGGATCAGGAGGTCCCTTCACTATAGGATTCTCCCTCTGCCCTCTCCATCTCCTTCTCCTTCTCTTCCTCTTCCTCCATCGCCCTCTCATCCTGAGATGTCTTCCCACAAGCACCTGTGGCACACAACCTACCCAAATCCTGCCTCCCCACCAGTGACGCCAGCAGCAGCAGAAACAGCAACACAAACTCCATGGGAATCCCCAGGTCTGGCCTTTCGGACAGCCAAGGGTCACATCAAGGGGCACTGGGCAGGTTATAGGCCCACCATCCTGGAACCTCAGCTCCTATACCTAAGCCCCCTGTGGGCCTACCTGTAGCCTAGGTCTATGGTGGAATCCACTGCTTAGAATCCTGGAGGCCCTCCTGGTTCATGGGAAGGCAAAGTCTACTTCTGCTTCATCTTGGCTCCCTAGACAACCCCCAACATAGTTGGTGCTCAGGACAAATGCAACTAGTAAATGAATCCATCAATAATAACACTAATTGGAACCATTTCCAGGGTTCTTCCACGCATCAGCAACTGTACTAATAATAATGATGATGATCATAATACCAACTGGAAATTACAACAGCTTGATTGAGCCTTTATTAAATGCCATCACATTCTACGCCCTTAATGCATATATTATCTCCTTGAATTGTCAAAAGAACCTAGGAGAAGAAAGCCCAGAGAGGTTAAATAACTTGTCCAAAGAGACTCAGCGAGCGAGTGAATAGGTCCGCCGCAGACGTACCGCAGAGAGGACAGCCGCCTGTGTATGCGTCAGCCGCTATCCTGAGGCTCAGACTGTGTGTGCCCATGAAGTCAACACAATTGGGATCCCCATTTCACATTCCACATTCAACAACTACAGCCTCAAGGGGGAAATAACATAGGCAGTACCACACAGCTAGAGAGGAAATGAAAAATTTGGGTTCAAACCCAGGGAATCTTGTGCAGAACAGATGAGCTTGACCCTGGCACCACCGGGCACTGGTGGGCTGCTTCCCTGTGCCATTGGAAGGAATGCCACCAGGAAATAGGCAGTTCAGCGTTGGCGGCTTCTACGGAGGATCGGCAGAGCCCCAAGGAGCAGGAAACAGGCTCAAGAGGGCACACTTACCCGGGGCACTGGTGATGTTTGGGCACCTTTCCGTGGTCCACTGGTCTCTGGGGTCAGGTCACGGTGGTCCACCTGCATGTGGCTCTCCAGGTCCTCAGCACTCTCAAATTTGACACTGCATTCAGGGCAGCGCAGGCCAGCGCAGGGCCGGTCTGCGGGCTCAGGTGGAGGCAGGCCACCCACCTGTCCATTGGCGCTGCGGGCCATGCAACTGGCACAGAGGCCATAGGGCAGCCCATTGACATCAAGCTTTACCAGGTCCTGCTTGCTGCGAAACTCCTTGAGGCACAGGGCACACTTGTAGAGCTTCTGAAGGCCCTGGCCATTGGGAGAGGATGCTGCCGAGCTGCTGGCCAGCTTCTGCATGTGGAAGGTGCCATGGATCTTGAGCTCAAGAGTGGAGGTGACGGTCTGCATGCAGACGACACAGCGGAAGCCTGTGAGGGAGTTGCGCAGGTCAGGGTGCATCTGGCAGTGCTCGATGAACTCCTCCTCACTCTGCAGGGGCATCTTGCAGATGCGGCAGGTGCCTGTGTCCAGGCTCTTGCTGTGGGTCACCTTGTGCTCCGTGAGTGTCAGCAGTGAGGGGAAGCGCTCGCCGCAGATGGGACACATGTAGTGCTTGGCGGGGCCCCGGTGGGTCTGCAGGTGCTCCCGGAGCCCGTTCTCCGAGAAGAAAGTCCGCGAGCAAACGTTGCACTTGTGGCTGCCCTTGATGAACTCGGCCTTCTTGCGAGAGCCGTCGTCCTCGCCTGGCCGGATGTTGTGGTCCCGGAGCCGGTGGTTCTGCAGCAACACCTCCATGGTGTAGGCGGCCCCACAGATGTCACAACCGTACATGGGCTCCGATGCATCCACGTCATCCTCACTAGCCTCGTGGCTGTTGGGTGCCTCTGGGTTCTTAAGCAGCATGCCCTGCAGGTCGGCCGGCTCGGCCTTCTTGGGAGTGGTGGGGGGGACCCCGTTGGCAGTACCATTCTCGGTGGCGGCGTCAAACACACAGTGCTTCTCCCGCAGGTGCTTCTCCAGCAGGATGATGGCATGGAAGGCCTTGCTGCAGAACTTGCAGTTGTACTTCTTGCTGTGGGTAGTGATGTGGCACTGGAGCTCCACCTCGGTGCTAAAGGTCTCCCCACAGAAGATGCATTTATGGGCCTTCGCTGGGTTACCCAGATGGCTGTGCTTGACATGCACCTGCAGGTCGACCTCCTTGCGGAAGTCCCAGTTACAGGCCGTGCAGCGGTACATCTTCTTCTCGTTGCTGTGCTTCACGGCCAAGTGCACCTGGATGGACACCTTAGAGTCGAAGACCTCCTGGCACAGGGTGCAATGATAGAGCACGAAGGTGTGCATGTCCAACAGGTGCTTCTGGAGGTCGTCCACCGACGAGAACTGCTTGTCGCAGCTTTCGCACACGTAGTGGGTGGACGTGGTCATGTAGTGCACCGTCAGGTGCTGCAGGAGGGACTCCTGGGAGTCAAAGTCCTCTTTGCACTGGGGGCACGCCTGCTTGCGCAGGAGCAGCTCCAGATGCAGCTTCAGGTGGGTTTGGAAGCTCTCAAAATTAGAGAACTTGAGGTCACACTGGTTGCAGGGATACTCGCCATTGGAGAGGGAGCTGGCGCTGGCGGAGAGCCTCTGCCGCTTGGGGGAGGACACCTCCACGTCCGACGAGACCGGGCTCTGCTCGGTCTTGGACTTCTTGCTGTGGGCCAGAGGAATATTCTTGTGGTTCTCCTTGATGTGCTTGGTGAGTTTCAGGATGGAGCCGAAGATGGGCGAGTTGGTGCAGTAAGGGCAAGAGTAGACCTCCATGAAGGACTGCGAGGGCTGCACAACCGGGGACTCGAGCTTGGCACTGCCGACGCTGCAGTGCGCCTGCTGGATGTGCTCGGTGAGGGAGGCCTCGGTGAGGAAGCCCATGGAGCACTGGTTGCAGAAGAAGGCGTTGTTGCCATCGGGTGGATTGGCATTGGGCCCACAGTGGGAGACACGGATGTGCTCCTGCAGGCTGTTGATGTCCGCGAAAACGTCGGGGCAATAGTTGCAGTGGAAGGCGGAGATGCTGCTGAATTGCATCATGGGGTAGGCGTGGTTCTTGTGGAGCTTGCGGACGTGCTCGTTGAGGTTGTATAGGGTGGGCATGGAGTCCAGGCAGATCTGGCACGTGTGGCTCTGCTGGGGCTTATCTGCGTGGATGGTCTTCAGGTGGATCTCCAACACAGCCAGGCTGGTAAAGTCCCGCTTGGAGCAATAGGGGCAGCTGTAGACAACCTTGGACCAGCCCTGCCCATCATCCCGCATCTTCTTGTGGCCCCGCAGTGGCTTTAAGGTGGAGTCTGGGGTGGACCCGCGCTCCACAGAGGCGCTCGAGTCAGGCGTGGCACTGCTCATGGAGGCCACGCTGCCGAGCATGGGGTCCGGGCTGACGCTATGGTTGCTGGAGTCGGGCTGCCGGTGGCTGTCCAGGTGGCAATAGACCTCCTCCACGGAGGAGAACTGCTCCGGGCACATGGGGCACTTGTGTTTCTTGTTGGCGTGGGCTTGGTGGATGTGGGTGAGCAGCATATTTTCGTCGACAAAGACCTCGGGGCAATGGATACACTGCAGGTCTGCCTTTTCGGACAGCTGGGGGTGGCGGGTGAGCACGTGCTTCTCCAGCTCCTCTGTCTGGCTGAAGGTGTCCTCACAGTAGTCGCACATGAAGTCGTCCTTCTTGGCCTCCTTCTCCGACTTGGCCAGGTGCTCCTTGTTCTTCTTGTGGGCCTGCATGTGGCTCTGCAGTGAGCTGGTGGAGGAGAAGCCACGCTTGCAGACAGTGCACTTGAAGGGCTTGCTAGAGCTGTGCGTCTTCAGGTGGATCTTGAGGTGGTCGCTGCGGGAGAAAGCTGCCTCGCACTCGTGACAGTGGTACTTCTTGTCGCCCGTGTGCAACTTGATGTGCCGGTCACGGCTCCTCTTGTGCTTGAAGAGGCGGCTGCAGTAGGTGCACTTGAAGGGCAGCTTGTCGCTGTGGATCTGCTCGTGCCTCTTCAAGTAGCTCAGGCGGATGAAGGACTTGTCGCAGAACTGGCAAGGGTACGGCAGGCCCGTGCCCCCTTCCTCCTCACCTAGGCCCAAGTCACACCCATCCCCGATCATCTGCGTGGGTGACGCAACATCCTTGCTGGAGGGAGACGAGGCCACCCAGGAGAGCTGTGGGTCGTCATCACCATCTGCAGGGAAAGAAAGAGAGATTAGAGGCAATTCCCAGGGCCACAGAGAAAGAAGGACTGATCCAGCGTATTAGCCGTGCTCAACAGAGGCTAGGCGGCTGGCCAACTACTGCGGGAGGCGTGAAGGAAGGAGGGATGTCAAAACCCAGTGGGCATGAGGGTCTGTCTGCAGAGGATGTGCAGAGGGGACAGTACCCCACGGTCAGCAGTATGTCAAAGGTAAATGCCTCATCCTTCACCACCACCTGCCCTGGAACTAGTCCGACACAGGATCCCCCACCAGACGGTAAGATGCTGGGCCACTTCTCTAGGAAGAAAAGGAGGCTAGAGGAGGGATGGCCGGTCTGGAAAAAGCTATGGGAAATTACCTCGGAGACCATAAGCCAAAAGGAAGATGAGCCCCATGATCTGGTCAGTGTGTTGGCTGACTTTCTCTCTGTTCCCTGATCCCGGCAGGAAATCCTGCTGGTCCTCAGGGGCAAGCAGGCAGCCATTTGCATAAAAAAATAAATAACCTCGAGTTAACAAATTCAGCTATATCACACTCTTTGGGGATGGGGCTTCAGGTGGCAGAGGAACTTAGGAAACCTAAACTTGGGAGGGAAGCACCAGGCAGCGCATCCGCACAGCAGGAGAGCAAGGCCCTCTTGGAAAACTCCCCAAGGACAAGGCCACTGCTACCCCCACAGCCCCAGGGAGAGCAAACAAACCTAAGTGCTGGCTGCCACTGGGAAAACAAAGGCACACCGTACAGCGCCCCCCAAAGCCAGCAATGTTCCTGCCACCCGGTGGGGGGCAGCTTGCGCAGGGAGTGAGTTCTGCATTGAGTTTCACACTGGGTGGATTTAAAACTTACTAGTGAATGAATGGGACCCCAGGCTGCCACGGGCAGGGGAGAAACGGACTGAAGCTCAGAATCCACTGTACTGACTTTCCTCTGAGAACCCAAGGAAAAGAAGCACTGCCCAGCCTCTCCAGACCCAGTCCGCCACTTCGCCTGTGGTTCAGAAGGACCTGGCCCAAAGGCAGCCCATGCCTCACCTTCTAGAAGGGAAGGGGAAGGCCATCCCATGCACAAAAAGGAATGAACAGCACACACACACACCTGCATGCATGCTCACATACAAGGACTGTAGTCATCACTTCCACACTCAGTCTCACATGGAAATAATCTGCTCACATGCATCCATTCATGCTTCACTCAACCAAGCTTAAAACATACATGCACACAAATACTATCTCACACTCACTCACTCACTCACTCACTCACTGACACACACAATCTAAAAGGCAAAACACCTACCCAGGTTCCCAAACCCTCAGGCAGTTGCCTATGCTGTCCCAGGTTAAATCCAAGACTTTAAGAGACACACAGCTTCCCTCCAGAGGGTCTTGAAGAGTCCTTTGTTGCTGGCTCTGAGACTGGTCCCAAGCCCAGTGCCTGCCCAGGCCCCAGCTTCCGCCTGTACAGACCTGTCTGCATCCACCGGCAACACGGACAAAGCTCAGTCCAGGTGGGTGGATGCTGCTCTCCCAGGCTCCTGTTGTGTGTACTCCTCTCCCAGCCGTCTCCCCACCTCTGAAGCCCAGCCACCCAGCCCAGCACAAGGCGCCTTCCAGAATTCCCTCCCGGAGCGAGGGCACCCGTTCCCCGGAGGGGCTTCACATTACGAGGCCCTTCGGATGGGAAGGACACAGCCACGCCAGCTCCTCAGATTAGATGCAGCAGGAGGCGCCCAGAGCTCCTGTCTGCTAATTCCCAGTTCTTGCCAGCTGGGCTCTACGGGGTGCAGACAAAGGGGGCCCAAGGGAAGGGGTGGCTGGAGTCAAAGCAGCTGGAGGAACGGCTTAGTCCCTGCCCCCAGCCAGGATCAACTGGCTATTTATAATTATAATTTTCAAGCTCACACTCATACAAGCTGCCACTGGACCCATATGGTGTACCACTCTGCTTCCTGAGGAATACTGACAAGGAAACTGAGGTCCAGCGGAAGTGGCTTGCCCATGGAAATGACCGAAGCAAGATTGACAGCAGGACTATCTACATGCAGGACCCTTACCATAAAGTGGGTTGACCAATTAAACACCTGCACTGGCGAGGCCTCGAGAGGTAAGTTGCCTGCTTCCCAGGTGCTAAGCCATCAGCACAGCCAAGCCTTGATCTCTGCAGTCTTCTTGAATCAGGACAACTGGGACCACTGTTGTTTCCAGTTCAGAGAGGGCCAACTGAGGCCTAGGGAGGCTCAAGAGCTCATGAGGCTGCCAAGCAGAGGACATAGGCTGAAGCTCAGCCAGTCCCTGGGGTACTATGACCCTTGGCAATTCAGTGAGTAAAACAAGGGCAAAGGTGTGACCTTACAGACAAGGCCCTGCCTGTTAGGCCAAGCATTACAGGAATTGATCCGCAAGGAATTCTGCTGGAAGTCATACGGTCCCAAGCTCTTCAGGTTACCTACTCTTGCAGGGACCTGTACAAAGCCCACTCCTGGCTGCCTGTCCAGCCCCAGGCCAGGAGCAGACACCTGAACGTCTCAGACTCGGCGAACTCATCTGAAAAAGGGAAATCACCTTCAAAGAGTCAGAAGAGTCACTGGTTGAGATAAACGACCATGAAAAAGCACCGTTATTCCATTGAGAAGAATGTCCAGAGAAAACACATTTAGAGACGGAAAGCAGAGGAGTGGCAGCCTGAGCAGGGTCTGTGAGGACGCATGATTCGGAAAGCACGGACGTATTCCAACACCCCCACAAATGTGCTGAAAACCGCCAAACCGCATGCTTAACACAAGTGCGTTTCGTGGCATGTAAATTATACTTCAACAAAGCTGTTAAACAAAAGTACAATTTGGCCAATAATAATCATTAGTACTAATTAGTACACTCACGCTAATAATATTAGCAGCTACATTTACTGAGCATGTCCCACGTGCCAGCACTGTGCTAAGTGCTTCTATTATCGCAATTAATTTCTTTTAATCCGCACCACAGCCCTATCTGGTTATGACCGGTGGCATCTCATTTTCAGGAAGCTGAGGCTCAGGGAAGAGAACCAGGTACCCAGTTACCCAAACAGCTGGCCCAGCGTGCCCTCACTGCCCTGTCCCAGGCCCCATGTCAGTCATTCACCCGGTTCCTCCCCCAGGCTTGAGAAGCCCACAGCAATGGAGTCAAGTCTGACTCATAATCAGCCTTGAGAAGGAGAGTCTTACTCCACCATATGCCAGAGTACCCATGATTCATTGCAGGGTTGGCGGGTTGGCTTTGTTTTTCTACAAACATGTTTCAAAACTAAAGCAAAGCATATTACTCTGGGAGTGAGAAACTGAGCAACGACTAAGATCATAATCAGCTGAACTGAAACAGAAACAAGGCTCTTTAAACTGAAAGGCCCAGGGAGGGGAAATGGGCATGCTGACATATAAAGCCCCAAACTCAAATTGCTCCACTCAGAGCCCCTTATTCACACGACAGTCAAGCCTGGCTGCTGCCAGCCCACCCATGCCCTCCATAAGCATTTTGCTTGGGGGACACTTAGCTTAGTGCCCTAGAAGCAGGCTGGAGAGGAGTGGCAGCGGCCCATGCTTGGCTGTGAGTGGTGGGTGAGGTTTCCAACTGCACTGACATTCTCCAGCTGACCCGTAAGACACGTCACACGTGCGAGCATTCAAAGATGTACTCTAGTGGATAAGTAGCAAGGGAGTCCGGTAAGACCTGATTGGGTCAGGTCTGAGTCATTGTGGCCCAACGTGCGTTAGAGTTGAACTGTGCTCCCGAGAATTCTCAGTAGCTGACGTTTCAGAAACACATCACCAAGGCTTGCTTTCAGACACACCTGTGTCAATTCAATCAAACACATTAACCATGTGTACCACTCAGGTACTCCACAGAAGAGTATAAAAATAGGGGGAAGGCAAACCCCTAGTAAGACAGAGAGAGGGCCCACCAAGGAAATCCTTGCTAAATCAGCTTAAAAAGGAAATCTATCCAACAGAAATCTGCAAGCAGGTAAGAGTTTCTAAGAACCACACCAGAGTGTAGAAACATACATTCTGGAACACAATGCCTAAAGTGTGTCTGAAGTTGTTTTGCACAAAGCCCAGGTGCCGTGTGTGTGTGTGTGTGTGTGTGTGTGTGTGTGTGTGCGCGCACACACGCTTCTCTGTGTGGTGGTGGGGTGTGTGTGGAGAAACAGCTTACCATGCAGAGAGGAGAAGGACTATCTATTCTCAGGGAAAGGAGACCGAGCAGGCACACCATCCCATAATGAGTTCTGCACATCACGGAAGCCTTCACTGCCAACTCCATCTTGGAGAACAACTGTGGATACACTTTATCATAATAAAACAACTATTCCAGGAAATCTCCACATTCTCAGAAAACTCCACCCCCATTAACATATAAAATGATACAAAAGTTTGATCTTCGGAAATACAGGTGGAGACCCTTATAAAGTTTTTCTATGTCCTGACTCAAGCTCTCTTCGGCTGCTGAATTATTCTCTTGTCATGCTATTCTTACTTGATAAAGAGCACTCTGAGGCCGTCCCCTGTCAGTCACGCGGTGTTCTCTTGAACATCACAGAGCTCAGAAAGATGGAAGGTTCAGAAAAAGTCTGGTTCAAATGAGCACCTGCTGAATTTCCAAGTAAATACTTGTCGAGATTTGACTATGTGTAACTATGTACCATTCTTTTAGAACTTTACATCTATAAACCTATTTAATCTTCACAAGCCCAATAATGCATTAGTAGAATTGTTATTATTATTAATTAATATAGAGCAGAAAACCAAGGCACAGGCATGCTGAATACCCTGCCCAGTGCTAGCAGGTGGCAGAGCCAGGTTTTCAACCTGGTTCACCTGGCTCAGATTTTCGACCTGGTTCACCTGGTTCAGAGTGAGTACCTTCACCCAAGACATGACACTGCCTCCCTCCTTTGGGAGGAAGAGCTATCCCAGAAGACTAAGTGGGAGTTGACGTAGCCAGACCCTCCGCTTCTC